TTTTTATCATGTTGTAATACAACTATATGGTGAAAATATAATCAAAAATAAATTTTATATTAATATTTAATTATCTTGATTTAATAATAATTCAAAATATTTAATATGGTTTTTATAAAATCTTCTTAGTTTGTTTTTTTGTCTTAATAGCTAATAGATTAAAGATTTGTTAGTAATTTTTCTTTCTAGGATATGAAAATTCTTTTAGTACCTTAAAAAAGTCATAAATTAATATTAAAAAATTGATAGAAGAGGTAAACAATTAATATAGTTGATACTAAGATTAAATTGAGGATAGGATTGGGCTAAAAAATTCCTATGATAGGTTGGATTGATATCTAAGGATCAATTGTTTGTAGGACAATGTCAAAATCAAACCTCCAACCATTAAGATAGTTGTCTAGAGCAAAGTATAGAGGTATTTGGAGATCAATGATTGGAATTAAAAAGCTAGCTTTAAGTTTGTTCTAAAAGCATAAGGCTTATTTTCATAGGATTTGGAATATCTTTGTAATTGTTATTCAAATTCAAGATTTGTATTGGTCACTTTGGATTCATATAATATAATTAAGACTAATACTCTTAGCTAATTCGTGCAATTGGTGTCACATCTATAGTTCAAAATTTGACAGTACTTGGTTGATTGGATGTACTAAGTGTGCTTAAAAAAAATTATTAATCTAATAATGTGATTGAAAGAAATCTAGTTTTTGGTACAAGAGCTTATCAAGAGTTGGCAGTTTGGTATTAGGTAGGATTTCTATGATATCTAAAGATCTATGAATTGAAACAAGGTGAAATTTGGCATGGTGTTTGAAGACTTAAAGATTGAGCTATACATTAATTTTGAGTTGAAGTTAATAGTTGGAGAAGGAGAAATTGGTACTCGGACATGTACATCAACTTTTGAATTGGTAGCCAAGTGACATCATTGTAGTTTTTTAGATTTTTTTTTATAATTTGTAAGTTGGATTGGGCTAAAAAAATTGAATATATAAAAGACTTATAGTAGCATTTTTATACAAAATTTTGTACTAAGTGGATAGTTAAATTAAGAGTTACAGTTGCCAAAGTTCACTGAATATGATTAAGGTTTACAAAGAGAAGTCAAAATTGCCTAATTAAGAAAGTAATAAGGCAATTGGAATTTATGTGTAGTTGAGGTTACTAAGAAAAATATTTTTGACTACTTTGTATTAGTTTTAAGTACTTTCAAATTACATTCTTCTTATATGGATGAAGCCTATTAGGATTTTTTGGATACTTATAAAACATAACTTCATCTTCTACAACCAAGTGCCTTATACATTCCTAAATAAGGCAACATATAATACAATATTGTTCCTTGTGAAACTCATTCCTAAAAAGAGGAATAATGTCACAAACATACATATTTATTTAAATAAGAAGTGTTATGTAGAAGATAAATATAGATAGATTTGATATTATCTTGTATCAAAGCTTCTTAAAAACTTTATAAATACATATTTGATTTTATATATGTTTATAATTGATTGATAGGTTAGAAATTTTGTTAATAAATTAGCCATATATTGCATGTATAGATAGCTTGTGATATAAGTTAACAATATCGCATGCATTTAAAAAACTTATCTTGCATATTAAGACATGTATCTTGTAAGTTAGACATATATTAGAGGTCCCATAGAATGTCACTATATAGCTCCTAGTTAGATAGTATATTTGGAAGCAAGAGTAAAGCCTTCTTTACTCTTGTCAATGCCTTTCTAGTCCTTAATCTTGTTTCAAGACTTTTTAATCTTCTTCTCTTTAGTAATAGTCATTCTAGTTTAATATTATACCATCTTTGAGTAATTTTTTTATCTTTTTAAATGACACAAGAATATATTGATCTTTTAGTTCTTTGAAATGTATGTCCTTGATAACTATTGCATTAATAATAAGAAATATATATTATTAATTTTATATGTAGACAATTTCTTGTTAATAAGAGATGATCATGATAATATTGAATGAATTCAAAAGTATTTAGAAAAAAATTTAAATAATTAATTTTGGATATGTACATATATATCTAAGAATTAAATTTGAATTTATTGGTTAAAAAATTTGGATGCATTAGATATAATACATCAAAAAGCTATTGCAAAAATTTGAAATAGAAAATTCAAATTATGTATCTCAACTAATGAGTAGAATAATCATATTCAAAAAAGACATGGTATTTTTGTTATGTGATGCTATTTAGTATTAATCGTTGGTTTTGAATTCAATTCACTTAAAAATAATATAAGAAGATATTATCTTTGCAATGCATTATTATTTATACTACATATACTATGACAAAAAATGTATTTCATTGCAACAAAACATATACTAAGATATCTTAAAGATATAATGAATTACTGCATCTTCTTTTAAATAGATGAAAAAAGAAAATTGCCCACTTTTACTAATACAAATTTTGCTCAAGATCTAGACTCTCAAAATTATTTTTAGGCGTAATTTATAAGTTAAGATCTTCTCCAATTCATTGGACAAATAATTTATTGGAAACAATAGTATTATCTATAGTAAAAGAATAATATAGAGTTTTATTTGAAGTTACAAGATAAGTGATTTATATAAGTATATTGCTTAGAATTACAAATTCAAAGAAAAGACCCAATAAAAATCTTTAGCGATAACATGAGTTGTTCAAACTAACAAATAATCTAATTATGCATGCAAGAAAAAAACATATTAAATTACAACTTCACTATATTAAAGAGAAGATAAACAATAGAAATATAGAAGTAAATTTTATTTCCAATAAACATTAGCAAGTCGACATCTTGACAAAAGCTCTCAATGGGTTCTATTATCAAAAAAAATGTAAAATAAAAGGATTGTTACAAATTCCATAAAAAAAAAAAGATTGATTGTTATTTTACTAATAACAATGAAGATATTAAATCTAAGAAAAAGTTAAAGGTGAAAGAATTTTGAAATAGTATTGTGCTTCAAACAAAGTTTTGAAATTTTTGAGCTTAATAAGAGAAAAATGTTTCACCTCACCTTCACATGCTGACTAAGATATATATATATATATATATATATACATATTCATTCTTGAATGTTAATCATATCAAATTGCATGAAATTTTAATGGTTTTGAAATACTATGAGCAACTATAGAAGGACTTAGAGCAAAATTATTCTAATACTTGCCAAATGTTTGATGAAGAAAATCTGCGGTATGATGAAAGAGTTTCAACATCAAAGTAACACATAACCTAGCTAGAAAAAAATATAATTGTACGTGCCAAACAGCACAAACAAAATGAATCAAAAGAATTGAAGAACAAACACAAGAAAAAAACAAAGGAAAAACACAAATAGAGAATAAAAGAATCACAAAAGATTGAAGAAGATTCACAATCTGAGCAGGAATGAGACATAGAGAAACAAGTGACATGTTGGAAGTAGAAAACTAAGATTGATGGAGAGTGTTAGATATTACAAAGGAAACTTTAATTTAGTTTACATCATCTTTGTTACTTCAGTTATGAATCTTTGTTACTTCAGTTATGAATCACAACATTGATCTAGAATAGAAACAAATAGAAACAAATATGACTTCCATTAGCACTTGACTGCACAAGTAGCTTGTTATTGCAAGACAAGAGTATATATATATATATATATATATATATATATAGAAATTACTGCATGTGTAAAAGAGAGAGGTGTGTATATATATTTTGACTCAAATGATTATATTGCAGATTTTCTTCATTTCTAAGAGATCACCATCTCTTAGAAATTTTCAACAGAAATTTTGTGTTCATGAAACATATGACTCGATCAAGAGCATGAGCATCGCATTTTTGTTACTTGTCGAAGACTGATGCGGGTGTTTTTTCAAGGTTCTCTGCCTGCAGGCACAGATCCAAGTTCAGTAGCTGGACTTATCAGAACAGCGGATGAAACTAGTCTTTTCGACAGTCCAGGACATTGATTCGGTGTACTATCTCAGTTAGCTCGCTGCTCGGACCCCCTGCAAGTGCCCATGGTGTTGTGCTACCTCCGTGGCTGCCTTGAACTCAGCTCTACTGTACGAGTTTTTTTAATCCTTGCGAGGAGCCTCGTGCTCTAGCTACACAACGCTGGAACGGTTCGACCGAAGCGACTTGGGCTAGTGAATACCCTGGATTCTCGTTTTCTCACTGTAATGAATCAGACAGCAACAATCGGTTTGGAACAGGTACTGAGGATTTGTGGGTAACGCTTTTTGCAACGAGCTTTGCTCATGTCCTAATGAGAAATAGGCAATGGGGACAGTTTTCGAGCAGGAAGGCGTCCGAACGCGAGGGACGGGGGCAACAGCGGCAGTGGCGCTTCGGTCTTTCAAATTCATGTTCCACGTTGAAACTTTTGTCTCTGTAGGAGGATGAAGACCAGATGCAAAGAATGGAGAACAAGTTCTGTTCTACTGTATTAGTGCACTGTCACTCCGAGGTGGAACCCTGTGCAAGGCTGCAAGAGATCATGGCGCGACTGTCATGTAAGTATAAGATCTTTCCTCTCCATATCTGCTAGATTTTTTAGTGCACTGTATGGCAACTATTGTGTGGGGTACGGGTGGCGGCTGCAGACACATTGCAATGACATGCGTATGCTGCAGATCACTAAGTGCGGGTGTGACAGGCTCATTCATTTTACCACATTTACTAAGTTCAATGTAGTGGTAATGGCAACCATTTCGTAGTCTGCTGACTCTGTGTTGAGCAATATCAGTGTGTGACTTATTAAATGGGAGCGACATGGTGGCTGATGGGTACTTCAAGCACTCGCGCAGTCGGACAGTAAAATACTGTCGCAATAGCTTGTTCAGCTTGCTGCTGCTGTCTTACATGCTGCAGCTTCGACTTTACAGAAGAGGGTTTGCATGTCGTGTGCTACGAGGGTATTATTTTACACGGCATATTTCTTCAATAGGTGCACACAAATAATTTACTAGTGCATGACGCAGGGCATTTCAAAATTGGAATCCGACAGAGGAATTGAATATAACTTGTTAGCTATGTCACAGATTTCCTGAAACATCGAGACGTGGAAGATATATACAAAAGAATTATTGCCTACGTAATGATATGCTTGAATACCATACGGCTACTGTAAGTAGATTCAGTACAAAAGACTACAGGAACAGTGTTCTAAATATCAGACTCTCAGCAAACAGAAGAATCAGCCCTTGACGTCTTCTTACTTTTGTTTACCGCCAAATCTACTAAGAAGTCTGTGAAGACTTTCTCATACTCGGGCATTTTGCCAAAACCTGCAAGTTTTAACAGTGTGTCATTATCAGAACATTATCACCTTAACATCATCATACTGGAATAAACGTTTACTTCATATACATAACATCAAAACAAATGTGTATGGAAACACGTTTCTAAAATTTTGGTGGAATTAACAGACTCTGGTATAAGAACCACTCCAAATCCACCAGAAGTAGTTTAATCAGTTTCTGCAAAACATATCTAGGCAATTGGAAAGTGAGCGGATACCTGGAAAGTAATTGATATCAATAACGTAGTACCGACTACCGGCTCCTCCTTCACGTATTATATCCATATTAAACAGTTGTAGACCCTGTCACACCAACCATGCACAATAATGGTGTAAATGCTTGGTCACATGCAGTCATTAACTCATTAAGTTGTACAGTAGGAACTCAATGCAGTGAATTATGCAAACGAAGGCCTATGTGTATTCCTATTAAATAAATGCCTGTAAGAAGAAAAATCATCTACTATCCGATTCACCACATCACAAGTGCAGTGCGCAGAGTATGATCCTCTTAGAAGATCACATGACTAGGCAAGTGCTATTGCGAAGGGATTTATGGAAGAATTGATGGATTTACCAGTCTTCGTCGAAGCTCTTTTGAGAGGCTTTCTAGCAGCCGGCGCGGTGGCAACTCTGGAAACACAAAAAAAAAAAAAAAAAAATGCAGAACATACCAAAATAAATAAAGGTTGAACGTATCAAAACGGATGAAAATAAGTACTAACGTCGGTGCTCGCTAACAGAGAAGAGATTTTAAACAGAGACAGATAATCGATACCGAGGAGAAATGAAACCTACCTGCTGCTTGAGGATCCAATATACCAGCTGCCAGAGCTTCCTCAGCTGATTCAGCTGCGCAAGAAACTCGTGGAAAAGGCATTATACCATTTCGTTTCATCTCCCCTTCAGGTACATCTGGTAAAGAAAACCTCCGCACCACTCGAACATAGTCACCAACTACATAGGTTTTGAACAGAACTCCGCCTGCAAAATGGAACGGGACACGAGAGTGAAAATTGTTATTCTGACAGAACATCCAAATTTACAGATACAGGTATAAATTTCAGCTCATCGAGAGTATACTGCGAAGGCTAAGGGAAGAAGTTCGTACCATGGTTCACAAACTCCTGGAGCACTAGAGGTGGGTCTAATTGGGTCAAACAGGACTCGTCGTAAACCAGAGACATCGCATGTGACTTGGGGGATCCATCTGCTACCAGTGGTTTTGCCACTTCAAACATACACAAGCACACATGGAAAGGTCAGGAGTCATGATAACCACATTGTAATCTACATGGCAAACACGCTTTTTTGCTACTACCTACTCGATAAATTGTTGAGAGTTCATTGACTTATGTTTAGTTGTACAACGCTTACCCAATGGAAGCTTAAGGCCAGCTTCGGAGACAGCAGCTGGAATCGACGTTGCATCACCAGTGACCACTAGCTGTTTTGGGACCCCCACGTAACCTGAAATACATCCACGACGTACTCTCAATCAGGAAAGTTCAAAACAACAAGGTTGTTGAGCACAAATGATTAAAAAAGTTCAGGTAGGTCTGCACACAACCTACCCGCAATTATAGATGTGTCTGAGGGTCTGTTGGTTCATTTGTACCCTGCAAACAGATGGTGGAAACTGAAATAAATTATCTGCCCACAATACGCATTATATTCTTTTTTCATGATCATAGGTTGTTGGGGTTCCATATCCTAGGGGGAGGGGCTCAGTACATAAGATGACAGAACTTACCCCCAGCATCGCTCATATCTAGCTCCGCAACATCCTGCAGCATGGACTGGCGGTTACGCAACTGCAGAATTGCCTCTGGAGGGTCCAGGACCACTACATCCGGATACAATCTCTTGTAGTCCTGCAGACATCATCAAAGAATTTCAATATACCGCCGGAGTCACACAGACGACGACCTTCATGATTAGAAACATTACATACTCAAACTACCTTCTTCACATTAACACATTACGTGAGTCCCATTATACCCCAGGAACATCGTCTTTGAACCAGAGCTATGCGGATGTCTTCGACCTATCACCGACCACAGATTTTAGGAATGAATGCTACGGTTCATACACACAGCACAACCAGGGTGCAAACCATCCTGATCATCGGGTCACCACACGGAATGCAGGTATGACGATCTGCCGTTTCACAGATAAGACTGACCGCCCTCATGGGGCACAAACCTAACAACTTATTCAATACCAATCCAAGTAAAATCCCAAGGTTCATTGATTAATTCCAAAGGACTGTCGATCTTAATTTCCGACAGCATGACTATGCTGCCGGGCTGCAAGTTACTCTCTCTGTGGCTCGTGTAACTTGCAGCCCGGCACTGCTAGTGAATGTTCGATATTAAAACCTTGTAGAGTTCTTTGATATTTTATACGAAATTCTAGACAGGTACACAAGAGAGGCTATCATCCTTTGGACCTTCCAAAAGCCTAACGCTGGCTAAGCAGAAGCGAGAAGACATAGGCAACCAAGCTCCCTTCCATCTCCCTCAGGTCTTTCAACTCTCACCTCCAGCGACTGGCGCCACTCCTTCCCTGTGCTCTGTAAATACGTCGAACAAAACAAAGCCAACGTTCTTGTTAGGAAAAGAAGTTTCTCACCAATTTTTCATTGTCTGAAAACGTAAATTTAGGAGATTTGGATCCGAAAGGTCACTACTTTCTGACACGGCATATAAGAATCTGGGAATGACAGATACTTAGTCGATTGACATCAGCTAATTAATTTTCACAACAAGACTACTGCAAGTGAATTATACTCCCGGCACTGAACTTTGAGATGGGCCACTGCAAGGTATGAAGATGCACACAAAGTCTGGTACTACGAAAAGGCGTATGCTTGTCCACTCTGGGTCAAGGAAAATTCACATGGTACAGGACTTGTAAACCAACCTTGTGTAAAAGGACATCGAAGGGCCCTTGCTCAGTCAGCGGTATGCTTCGATCTATTGCTACAAGTGAAATCCCCTTGGACCTGCGGAAAACCCCCATGTCAAAGAATATTCAAGACTCACATCCTAAGTCTAATAGTAGGAATTACTGCTGAGCTCAGCTGTACGATCAGCATATTTGGTGAAGTGCCTCTAAAAGTTTTGATAAATGACGTTACTGCAGGTCACGTGGAACTGGTTCATAGATAATTAATGAATAAAAATTAATTACACACAACGACAACCGGAACGCGTGCTTCAACTAATTGAGTTGATATTACACTCAGAGTAGCGATAACGAGTGCCTGTAATCAAAAATTTCTGAATACCAGATCCAATACTACCGTCATCCATTAATGGTGGTTAACGCAAAGGTGCTATGTACCTTGCAAGTTCTTCTAGCTTGGGCTGCACGAAGCTTTTAATCTTCTTGGAAGTCAGAGCATATCCGACGCTGAAAGTTGGAGGGGGTAAAGTGAAAGTTGGAGATGGAGGGGCCAAAGCCATGACTGGAGTAATTTGAGACCGCCCATCTCGACTATATACTTTGCTCTCCCTTTTTCTTTCTTTTTCTCTCTCGCGCTCTTGCTCTCTGCGCCTGTTCTCCTCCCTCCGACGTCCTTCCTCCCTCTCACGGTCGACTATTCTTGTCAAAGAAAGTGGCGATCTTTCCCGAGACTGTAATAGTCCCACCCCCCAAAGGCTCTCGGAAGCGGAGGACGCAACCGACGTGGCGTTTTTGTCCAGCCTCATACCCGCACTACCCAAACGGGTCTCCTCCTCAAGTTGAAGTAAAGGAGCTCAAGAACAAGCTTCGCTTTGTTTCGAACAGCTTTAAACTCCCCAAGATTCAGCAAAGCTTCAAAATATTTAACTGCAATGCAATCTGCCGAGAGAGCCACCCGAGACTGTCGAAACCTTTGACGTCAAGTGAACAACCAAGCCACTACTCAACCCATACTTCTCAATCCCCACGACTACAAAGTTAATCGCCACACCACCTGAACTCCTGCCAAACCAAGAGTCGTGAGAAAACAACACCATTAGCAACACATTGCAGACCCAAGATTTCTGTCTAGCTGCTACAGATAAGAACAGCTTCTGCAGAACTACAACGTCCAAATGCAATTAGTTACTCGGTCAAATTTCCGAGGGACGACAACTACAGGAGGACAGCTCCTTGACTCGCCACATCCCACTACAAGATCACAACCTCTTCCAACTCGTAATGTTGGAAAATAATAGCTTGAAAACAAGCTGTGAATGAACTTTAGGTCCGTGATTCAGCTATCGAAACGAAAATTACTGCCGTAGCCACTAAGCCGTCTATGAGACTTTCTTAAAGACTTGAACAACAAACTGCATCTTGAATGATGAGCGACAACAGTAATCTTAGAGAATTGAGTAAATGGAGATGGGGTAGACCAGCATTTCAGCACAAGCGGCCTACATATCAGGGACAGCAGTGCTGACGGGTTCAGAGTTGCAATCCTACACATCTCGTTCGAGGCGGGAAACAGAGACTGAATACAAATCTGGACTATTTCAACAGTTCGTCTTCTTTGGAAACCCCAAATGCGATAATTGCGACATTCAAAAATTTCTGAGAAGCAGAGTAACCCCAACCACAAATAACATAACAAGTGTCCCTAAACTGTAAACAGTGTCCTCAATTTCACTGAACCACTGCAAAACCAGCGCTCACCAGCACGCCTGATTCTCATTTCCCGTAGATAATAAAGTCACAGATCATCACAATCCATGTCACTGAAGGGGGAGGGGAGGGAAGGAGAAGGAAAAAGGAAGACACAAACCCCTAACAGCAGCGGCTTCGTGACCTGCACCTGAAGTTAGAACGCGTCCCGCATCATGATCACTTGAGCCACCAGAAGCACTGCCTCTCGCATCCACCAAAGCACAGGGTATACACAGGATAGTAGCAAGACGTCAGCACGATGCTTCCCACCCCACACCCGCTGAAAGTGCAACGTTAACACTTTATCTTCGTCAGTCAACTCCACTCATACTCGCATCACCACCCAGTTATCAATCTCCATTCATGAAGCAAGGTCATCCCCTTTGCACCAACCCAACCATGCAAAAACTCTTCACCAACACTTCGCAACTTCCATCAAATGCTCCTCTAAACTCTCTCTCTCTCTCTCTCTCTCTCTCTCTCTCTCACAACTAACGCCGAAAAGTGCCCACAGGAGCTTCAAGGCATCAAATGGGACAGAAATTGCGCAGCGGCAGGGAGCAAAGGATGAGGCAGACGCTGAGCAACGCCGGCTGAAGAATCGGAAACTGTGAATCCAATTGCGGAAAGTCACGGAAGCAAGCACGCAGATAGACGGAGACGGAGACCGAGGAGGAGGAGACGAACGGGGGCTATGCAAGAGGGCGAACACGGCAGTTGCAAGCGCCGTTCTCTTTATACTTGCACTCTCTCGGACCTACCGGGCATATCCGGTCCTACCTCCCGACCGAGCCGGTGGGCGAGCGAGGAGAGGGGGCTGGGTGGAGCAGGTGGGCGCGTCTCGCTCGATTCCAGAGGTAGATGCCGGGTTCCTAAATTAGGGAGATTCACGGTCGTAGATTCAAGCTGGGATTTGGATTCAAAGTAGATTTTTATTTATGGCAAGATTCAAATTGCCGCTTGTCCTCCCTCCCTTCCTTCCTTCCTTCCTTCCTTCCTTTCAAGCAAGTAAAAGTAAAAGTAAAGTAGGAAAGTAAAGTAAAAGTAAAGGAAAGGCTTGCTTGCTAGCTAGCTTGCTTGTCTCGCTGCTGCTGCAGGGCATGATTATTATGGTTGTGGCCCCTCTTGCGATGTCGCTCCGCGTGGTGGTGCCATTCATCTGTGTCAGAACAACCAACTCGCAACTCGCAACTCGCAACTCTCCTTTCGCGTTCCCGAACAATCTCCTGAATCCCCCCTTCCTTCCCCGTCCTTCCTTTGCCCCGGGTGACTTACTTCTTCGGACGAATCTATTGCTGCGTCGTGCGCGCAGACAATCCCCTGCCTAAACCCAACAATCTCCGGCAATTCCGTCTCGCGCTCTCTCTCGCTCGCTCTCTTTCTCTCGTCGCCGAAGTAGTTTCGCAACTGTGGTGGTCGGGATCGGAGTGTCCAATGGTACTTGGAATATCACACTAAGCAACCCCGCCGCAGATGGCATTGTTTGTCGTCACCTGACGAAGTTGTGGTTTCGTCGACGAGATTTTCTGTTTTCGGTGACGATATTCTTTGTTTTTTGGTTTCAATGGCAACTGTTTCAATTCGTGAAATAAATAAACAAAACACACTAGTGAACCTTTTCTTTGATACAATTAAAAACTTAAGTGTATTTCTAGCCTAAAGAAAAGTCAGAGTGAAGTTGAATAAATATATTTTATGTTTTATGTCCTCTTACAAAAAAATTCAATGTCTGTATTCAAATTTGTCGTAAGAATTTACTTACCTAAGTCCATTCACATCATTTTGTTTGTAGCTTGTTCCTCTTAACATGTGTTAAAGTCATTCAAGTTCTTCATTGTTTTGCAAGATTGATTTGGTGTTGTTGAATCTTTTTTGAATATATGCAAAATTTTAGAAAAATTGTACAGTCACTTCAAAATTGATGGAGGCATGACATACTTTGCTTGATTTGATTATTACTCATGAAACCACAACTTTCTATCCAAATTTTCTCTTGAAGTTCATTTTTTGTTGTTTCTACTTGGATAATGGCTTGTGAAGACACACAACAAAGTCACACAATTTGTTTGTCAAGCCTTGATAATTCTATTACAATATGTAGTAATTAAATACATTCTTTTGAGTTATTTATAAAGCAAAATATTCATCACTTTTTTTAACTCTAAAAGCTCCAAAACAACCTTTCTCCACTTTATTTATCTCTATAAATAAAATAAAATAAAGATATTGTACTACAACTTTTATCATTCTTGAGTACAAAACAAATATGCACATGACACTATATTATATCAAATAATAAATAAACATATAAATATATAATTATATATGATCATATGTTATAAGAATTCTAAATGATAACATAAAGGCTCAAGCTACATGCACACCCCAAATCGCAATACATACACCTCCATTATGTGTGTAAGTGTTGTCAAGGCCTCTAATTAGCTACCTTGCTTATCTCCTAAAAATAGATTTAGAGATGACTTCTTTTTCCTCTTCCTTATTTGAACATAAGTCCTAGATCAAATTAACAAACTAGACAATTAAATGCCTCTATTTTCTTAGATATGTATATAGCAATTTGAGGTGTGTATGTAGCCTCAACCTAATATAAACTATCTAAACTATTCAGTAGGTTTGTAATTTAAATTAATAATCAATTAAACTAGTAGTCAAATTGTATTTTAAATATACTTGGAGACCTTATAGCATTTTATTTTTCTAGTTACAATCAACAATTTGCAAACTTCTTGAATGATACTTAAGTAACTATATTAAGCATTCAATTTTAGAATACAAATAAAATTTGCCTACCATTTGCACAACTTATTATTCAATGCAATAATCAACATGAGAACTTTAATGAGGTATTTTTTGAGTATTATTATTACTATTGTTATTGTATGCACATGTTATTATAATTCTATAAATGAATGTTTTTCTCATATTTAAAATATTAAGCACATGTCAAGTGCATTGACATATAATTAATGAGAAAAAATGTCATGAAAGTTAGAATGATATATAATTGTAATGATTTTAGTATTGATATTGTTTACATAGCTTACAAAAATTATTAAAAATACAGTAGAAAATAAGTACAATTATCTTCCTTCTTCAGTGATTATTAAGAATTTAACTATATGTTCTAGAAAGACCAATTTCTTCTATTCCCAGGTTTGAAGATGATAAATCAATTATTAGCAGGAGAAATCTAAGGTAACATCAAAGGAATAAAATACTCAAACTTGTTCACTGTAAAACATTTGTAATAAAACCAGGATCAATATCATGCATATCAAGTGTTCAAAACAAAATGATGTGTCCATAATACTTAATTGATTTTTTGAATAACATCATTATCATGTAAAGAACAAAAGTAAAGCATATTCAATTTATGAAAACGATTATTTTTTATTAGAAAATTTGAAGCCAATGTTTTTACACTCGCCATTTATACATTGGTGGTCACAAGAAAATTGGGGTTGATTCGTTAATTTTAACCATTTTTACGTAATTATTTTTATTCTATACTCTTCTCATTTATGGATACTCATTGCATGATGTTTATTGAATCCTAGCATGATTACAATATTCTAAGAAAAAGTCCTCTGCAATCAATCGGTGCTGAAGTTGGAAAAAAATCATAATCAGTGGTTTAAATAAAGTCACATTAAATTTTTAGTATGTTGAAAAGGTTAAAATATTAATAAATAAATTTCTGAATCTCCAATTGAATCTAATTATTTTTTATAATTTTATAATTTTAAAAAGTGTAAATAACACAACAATTAAAAATAACACGTAATTGTTTTAGTAGAATTGGTTTTCCGATATAATGTAACTGTCACACATATATGTAAAAATAGTCACAATTTTATTCTTTACATTCATTAAGAGTGTATTATGTTACAAACTTTCTTTTACTTTGTTTTTTTCTTATAATGCCATGAAATGCCCCTATAAAGGTTGATTGATGTAATTTGAAAAATAGTGTTTCCAAAACCTTTAATTGTATATATATATATATATTGTTCACACCCACCTTCACTATTGCAAAAACAAACTTGCCCAAAGACATTAAATCATAACTTGATACTTTGTGTGTGCATTGACAAGCTTACTCCAGTGTCTATTATTTCAAACAAATGCTTTATTTCTGGATCCAGGTCATATAACAAAATCAAACAAACACAAATACTCAAAAACAATCAAACATAAAAAAAATAAAAATAAAAACTCCAATCTTCTAACATTTAAATGAAACTTTGAACACTTGAAAATAGTATTATAAATAATAAGATACATGAAATGGGATTTTTAAAAAAATTTAAATTTTTAATAAATGTAATTCAAAGGTCACACCTTCATCCAACCCACGAAGCTGGAAGAGGCAAGGGTTTCGGGTAATTGCAGGCTCCGCGTAGTATTAGTTATTGTTGGGTTCGTCTCTGCTCCACAACTACTACTACTACTTTTGACTTTTGTCTTTATACTTTTGATATTCCCATGCTTTTTAATCTGGGTTTTTTGGGGAAGTTGCCTTTTTAATTTTTTTGTGAATGATTCGAGGCGATCCACACCCTTCCCTGCAGACATTTGGAATTGAAAGGGGTGAGTGGGACACTCGGCAACATCACAAGTGCAGAATCTGGAAGCTGGAAGAATGGCTGTAGTCGCCCCACAAGAGCCACCTCTGCCCTAATTTTCGGACCCCCCACCTTTTCCCCCCCGGTCCAATCATTTCCCGGCCCAGCCCGTGATTTTAGAACCCGAAGCCTCCACAAAAGGGTCCTCCCTCTAATTGTCTGTGCTCTTCGTTAGGGGAACAATGGGAACGTTGAGTAAAAACTGGGGAACGCTACCTCGCTCCCAGTGTCGGCAGCTGGCGCCCAATCTCTCTCTCTCCCTTAATTCTTTTATATTTGTTTTATATTACTTTGATGAGTCATTAGGGATCTTTCCTTGCTAAATGTATCTTAGAAAGTGGGTTATTTCTTGCATTGTTTCATTTTTTGTAGTGGTGGTGAGTATGAGTAAGAGTGGGGTTTTGCAGTCATGCGAACCTTATTATTATTATTATTATAGAAGTGTCTGTCAGATTCGTATTATTATTTGAAGTAATTAATCTATAGTATTCAATTTTATTCTTCTGCCTATTCACTTTTGATCACATGTCTTAAAGTTGTACGTGTAGGAATACATGATATTCTCTCTGTTGCGTATTTGTTTTGAAAATCTGAAAAATGAAACACCGTTGTGCATCAACTCACGCAATAATATATTACTTTATTTCAAAGCATTGCTTGTTTTGACTTTCACGGTGTGGTTCATTTGCTTGTGTGTAGTTTATGCTCAAAACTGCTGGAGAGCTTTAAAATGTTTATGTTGATTGAAATGTTTTTTAATTAAAGGTTGCATCTAATAACTTATGATTTTCGTACATTTTTCGTTGAACTAAGCATTCGTTGTAAAGTAAGATCCAAACATCAAACGACTAATTATATACTTTATTATGAAAAGGTACAATATTTCATTGTAAATATAGTGCACTATTTTGTGATGCAATGATTAGCCAAGTTTGGACAGCTGGGCAGAGTCATGTGTGTTTTAAGTGGACCATACACTCAACTCCCCACTTCATTTTTCTACTCTCATTGCCAATAAACAGCACAACTTCAAATCAAGAGTTGCTTTTAAAATGGAATGTTCCATCCTTC